GTGGGGGGTGGGGTTGTGAATTTTTCCAAGTTTTTTTTTTGATTTTTCCTCCATCCACCCTGAGGCATAATGATCCCTAATTCCCTTGTTTGAGATTGCGCATTTTTCTCTGCACAGAACTAAAATCATGGAACTTACGTGCAGTTTAGCCCTTTTCCTTTCATATACTAAGTAAAAATTCCATTCAAAGCTAAATTTCACTTTTTTGAGATGGAAAATAGAGGTCTTGCACCATCCCGTGCCGACAATCCATAATACAGCTTGGGCAAAAGTGTCAGTTTTCGACCATTTTGCAATGGTTTTCCCCCAAAACATATTAAAAACGAGAATGGTGACTAATAAAATCGGTGCTGCGTATCTTATATCAAAATATAAAGAAAGGTTTGTTGAATACATGTCAAATATTTTGATACGAGTAGCAGAAGCATGCGACTCCTGGACCCTGTTAGTTTTATGAGAGTAGCTTAACGAGTAAACTTCGAATCATATGTGTGTTTTGTTTCAAAGAGAACTTCCAAACAAAGATAAAGGTTCTTTGATTAGAACTTCCGGTTGCTACAATAATATGCTACCATTTTTTGCTATAAAAACTTTAAATTGATACATGTGAAAATGTGAGAATGGCAAGCTATTTTTATTTGTTTTTGAATATCCATTACATAATTGACGTCTATTCGAGGCCCAAAAATATAAGGACTATAATGACTTACTTTTCTGAAAAAGCCGCAAAGTCTCCAATAAGATCACATACTCTTAGATTAAGTCTTTGTGCCTACATTCATATAGAAATAAAATTCATCAGGAATAAGTAGCCCCCAAGTCCAGATTGGGTATGAGGTAATCTTCAATGTACATTGTAAGTAAGTAGGGGTATTCCCCTACAATATGTGTAACCACCCAGTCCAGAAAGGGTATTCCCCTACAATATGTGTAACCACCCAGTCCAGATAGGGTATTCCCCTACAACATGTGCAACCACCCAGTCCAGATAGGGTATTCCACTACAGTATTTGCAAACACCCATTCCAGATAGTGTATTCCCCTACAATATGTGCAACCACCCAGTCCAGATAGGGTATTCCCCTACAATATTAGAAACCATCCAGTCCAGATTGGGTATTCCCCTGCAATATCAGAAACCACCCAGTCCAGATAGGGTATTCCCCTACAATATTAGAAACCATCCAGTCCAGATTGGGTATTCCCCTACAATATGTGCAACCACCCAGTCCAGAAAGGGTATTCCCCTACAATATGAGAAACCACCCAGTCCAGATAGGGTATTCCCCTACAATATGAGAAACCACCCAGTCCAGATAGGGTATTCCCCTNCCCCTACAATATGAGAAACCACCCAGTCCAGATAGGGTATTCCCCTACAATATGAGAAACCACCCAGTCCAGATAGGGTATTCCCCTACAATATGTGCAACCACCCAGTCCAGATAGGGTATTCCCCTACAATATGAGAAACCATCCAGTCCAGATAAGGTATTCTCCTCAATATGAGAAACCATCCAGTCCAGATAAGGTATTCCCCTACAATATGAGAAACCACCCAGTGACTTGTGTTTCTGATCTTTTTCTCGTCAAGAACATGGACTTCAGTGTTGATTCAATATTCTTTGTAGTCAACAAAACCATTTTTGTCTTGGCCTATCACCTATTGCCTTTTGCAATTTCAACTTTTTTTAAATAGATGTATGTCTTATTTTCTACATTATCTACATTTTGAATGAATCAAAAATTTCCCACTACTGTAAGGTTATGTCGAATGACCCCCAGACTATAGTATGTCAAAACGTTGTGTTGAAGACCCCCAGCCTACAATATGTCAAGACATTGTTCCTACCTTAGATGCATATGCTGGACCAATTCCTTTCTTAGTAGTGCCCAGTCTGCGTAATAAGAGGAAGAGGTTATTAAACTAACATACATTTATTAAACCTTTCTCTGATTCCTTGGCTTTACAGCAATTTTCAATATAGCATGAACTCTGTAGTTGAGAATTGCCTGTTGGAATTTGGTTTTCCACTGACTCCAGTCAAACATATAAAGCTAAAAAAACATTTAACCATGCCGCAGCTTCAAGCTGCCAAGTTCACATAATATTGAAAACTGCAGCAACCAATATGGATGCAGAGAGAAAAACAGAAATGTATGTGCCTTGACGAAGCATTTCATACCTTCCTCTTCCTGATTCCTTTAACCTATCTGATTCTTGGTGGAGGTCAAACACTGGTAAACAAGAACAAAATACATTAAGGCAAGAAAGAAACAATATCACCCTTCTTGTCTACCTCAGCATCTCTTATAACTATATGTATGTTAAATATCCAAAATCCAATGTTTTTTCAACTCCAGTATTTCAAGGATGAGTTATTTTCTGCTGTTATTCTTTTGTTGTGGCTAGAATAAAGTATGATGCATATGCTTACCAAGATGAGCCCTGTCAGAAATAACAAGCCTCTGATTCCAGTCTGTCACACCTGTATTTACCAGTAAAAATAGAACAATTTATTCAGAACAACATTCAAAGCTTATAATCCCAATATTATTGCAAAATCACTGTCCAATTCAAAAACATAGCAAAATAAAAATTAATTAATTAATTAACTGTATATAACGAGGGTGACATACATCACTGGTAGCCCAGTAGTTTACATTATGGCCCTCCTACAATTAATGAAACTGAAATGAATGATCAAAGAAACAGAAAGTGTGTTAAGAATCCCAACTGGCAAGGAGGCAGGCCAGTTGGCTATTTACAAGCATGGTCAAGAAACTGAATCTGAACAAATCAGGAATTGAGACAAATACATTGACCACTCGACCATGCTGCCTCCCATAATAAATACAGAAACTGAGAAATACATAGAAATAGAAACTGAGAAATACATAGAAATAGAAACTGAGAAATACATAGAAACTGAGACCAAAATGTATGCTGGGAAAAGTATAATGTATTCATTAGAGATACACAGTCAATGTACCATTTTGGTCTCAGCTCCTTAAATTTTTTTTGAACCCAACAATGATTTTGCAATTGAATGTATATAATTTACATTTCAAGCAAATGTATAGATTTGTATGAAATACGATGATACTTCCTGTCTATTTTCTCAGATCTGTGATTGTTCATTTTTAACTTGTTGTGGATACGTAAAGCATAGAAAAAGATTATTGTGAGGGGTTTGCATATGTATGTTTGCATATTTACTATAATGTTAGCACATCGATAACTAAACGATTATCAATCGTATTAAGTTATCTACGATCGATATTTAAGCGATTGTCAGTCGTACAAAGTCATATCTGCTTACAAACTCTTATGAATTAGCAGATACACGAAAGTGGGCGTAAAATCTGGTGCATTGTCTTACTTACATAGGATATCAAATTTATTATGTATGGGTACTTTGTGTCCTATTTGTCGATGAATTGTTCCCAACACTGTTGGGTGTTATAATCATGCGCACAAGCCTACCAATGAGTGAGAGGTCTGATACTACACAGGCCACCCGTCACAGAAAATTTGAGCACCTATTTACTAGTAATCGAGAGCTGGTTGAGCCATATATGGATTTATAGAAACATATTTTACATAATTTATTTGTAATCTTACATTTAATTTATCATGTCTGAACGCGAAAGATACTAACATATTTTACTGTTGATTGTTAAGTGCCATTTAATCATGAGGTTGTACCTGAAGTAGAGATGAAATCGAACGTTGAGTAGACGAAATTGAACATCGTTTTAAACCAAGGTCATGGGTTATATATAAGTTAAATTTCCATAACTTAATTTTTTCTCCAAAATCAAGATCCTTAGCAAATTGTCATTCAGGTATAGAGTGAAGGCAATAATCCCGGGAAATAGATATAAAGGATATAAGACTAAGACAAATTTAGTTAACGCTAACCCATTGTATTTCTTTAGTGTCTATTTGAACCCTTATACTTTCAATTAACAATTACTCTACCAGGGATTTTAAGTACCAATGACTACCTATATTAGGAAAAAAATTTCAAAATATTTTCCCCAGAAAATTTTCTGCAAAATATCATCTCATTGATACATCTTCAAGCAGCTGTTTTTGTTATTACTACCAAATAGACAAAAAACTAGAAAACTCCAGTGAATTTAGCCCTCAGTCTCTATTATTGCACTATAACAAATTTGTACAAATATACATGTACAGTAGTTCATATAATATATCTTTAGTAATTACTTGTATAAACTAATATGACACTAAAGAGCAATAAAGACAATCAGTCAAAGCGTTTCTCAATGCCCCGTTATTGTTACCTAAAAGCCAGCAAACAGAGAAAGTCAATTCTGCCTTTTTACGACTGTATAATATGAATACATCATTAATTATTTGGAGATAATTTAAAAGAATCTGAAATTGCATTTGCAAGATAGATGAACAAAAGGCTAAAAAGTCCTAAAACCAATCACTCAATAAGAAAACATATACTCATACAATAATTTCTATGCTGCAACAGTCATAACTCAAATATACACTGTAATGTCCATGAGTTCTCCATTGAATGGCTATGTTTGCTTCTGTACTGGTTTTAGGTTGTGGGAGAAAAGGTCCCTCTGCCCTGAAACAATTGCTTCTTTTCAATAAACTACCTCAAACTTTTTGGAGGTAAATCGTAATCATGACAAACCTGTCTCCAAACAGGTTATCCCAGATATTAAGTCACATGAGCATAAATTTTTGGCATTAACATTAACAACAGAAGTGTTATCTAGTCAACCTTTAAAAGATCAAATTTAACCTTGCAGAGGGGAAGAAAAACAACCTCTCCCAGGGCTTTCGAAATTATTTGAACCAGACAGTGAAGTTAATAAAGTAGGGGGCTGTGTCCATTAAGGTGCCAGAAGGCCCCTTTTTCTAGGGGGTCTGGCATGCCCCCCCCCCCAAAAATTTTGAAACATTGATGCTCGGAAATGCAATTTCCAGTGTTTTGAGGGGCATTTACTGAACATTTATGAAATGTTTTTAATGTCTAAAAGTCCTTCCTTGAGGAACTAAATAAAGTACTGATCTCATCTGTGATATTTTGTCTCATATTAGCTTTTCAACATTTTCCTGCATGCTAATAAATGGAAAATTTTCAAAAATGTTTGAAATAGAGATGTTCCTTTTTGTATAGCAACACTCCATATTCACACAAAGTATTTTTTCATATCTCAAGAATAGATCAATAAATGTTATAACTTCAATAACAGTGTTCACTTTATCAATAATTAATTATCATCAAATAGAACTAACTGTAAGTGTTCAAAATTCAGAATCTGAATCAACATTAGTCTCATCTGAATACCTGTCATGGTACGTGATTTCTCAACAAAATACCAAAGGAAAACAGCGTTGAACCAGAGCATTAGTTGACCATTTTGTTTCACTGATCCGTGACTCGTGGTAAGCACAAAAGGCTTTTATTGATCTTCCACTGACCAGATCACAAAATTCAAGATGACGGTCGCTTCTTTACGAAGGTGACAAACCAACAACAAAAAGAATAGAMTACAACTAAAAAAAGATAATTTACTCTGTGGCTAAAGGTCAAGCAAAATATTAATTATACATTTTTTTAAAAGTAACTGGCAGTTAACTGCGAAGCAACTACCTGAACTTTGGCGGCCGCCGGCTTATTTTAAATGGAAACTGTTTTAAAACGTTCTGAGTTATTAGATCATATCAAAAAACTTTAGCTGGCAACATCCATCAGTGTCGTAAACAAACATACCTTGGTCTTCCAACTCCTTTAACTCTTGAAAAAGCTGTGGGACATGAATAACAACTCCATTTCCTGTAAGCAAACAGTGACAAGCAGTCAGTAGACAGCAGTAAAAAGGTTAGTAACATGCTTTAAAAGTCTTAACACACTAGTTTGGGGATTAAACACTTGAGAAGTGTTGAGGTTACTGGAGACCTTCAGGGGTATTGTAATGTCTGGGGTATCTCAAGAAGTAAATATTAACAAGAGAGTGAGAACATTTAGAACTACCTCATGCCTTTAATAATCGGTTCTGTGAAACATATGTGACAGGTATGTTAAGTTTAAAACTCTCTCTATGCAACACGTTTAACAAAACCTTATAAAACTATCTATCGTATTAAAGGTCAGATGATAAAGATTACAAAAATTAGATTATTTGAAAGCGATTTTCTAATTTGAAGAATTTGAGCCTTAAACATGAATCGGGTATGTTCCGTAGAATGATAGGAATTAATAGACATGGCATTAGTGCATATAGCTAAAAGAATTTCACCATGCGAATACAAATAAGCAATAGATAATCTACATTTAAGAGTGTGAGCGATTTTTGATTTTTTGCTTTTATAAAAAGTTTTTGAATTTTAAAGTTGAAACGTTGAAAAAATTCAATGTATTAAAAATATTGACGTATTAAAAATCAATCAAACCCTTTTGTCTATCCATATATATTCTTAGTTTTTGTGAAATTTCATAGAAATTGAATAAAACTATATACCCTATTAATTCATTTAAAAATAGGGAATAGGCTTGAAATCGATCATAGATATTTCAAACTTAAAGTTTTGGGAGAGTTTCACACCTCGTTAAAATGTCTGTAAACAGAAAGATACTGCCAGCCAACCAGACACCAGAACTAAAAGAATCAATAGAGCGATGAAAAGTTGCACAGGGTAACCAGCACTACTCTAATAGCATTAGAGTAAGCATCCAAGGTGGATTACTACACCTTCGGTGATTTGTTAACTTTTTCTTCAAATCATGTTTGTTTTAATAACTCACAATATATTTAATATTTCTATTAAAAAAAAGTTGAAAATGAAAGATCAGCTTACAAGCTTTTAGGAAAGTTACCCACGAAGGTCTCCAATAACCTTAAAGCCTTCAGCAATTCATCATGCTTCTTTAACACATTGTGTTTTGTGTTCTGCCAATCATCACATGCTTTATAACTGCATCAATTAATTATCGGCTTATTATGACTACACATAAAATAACATAATATAATAATAATTTAATTTATAAAGCACCTTAATACGTTTAGCTCAAAGGCGCCACTTACAATAAGAAATCTGCAAACAATAGCACATCAGCTGTTCTCTATAATTTCTTCAATACAATTCATGCATATAATGCAGTTAACTCAAGTAACTGCATTACTATGGAAATCACTAGAGTGGTAAGACATGTTGGAATGACTCTCTCGCTGGGTTAGGGTAGATTAGATTAGCTAGATTAAATCATTAACTAGTTTGCCTTACCTATGACATTCATTGCATTCTCGTTGATGAGGCCACTGTGGATATGAACACACAGTTACTGGATTAAAAGCCTACTGGCACATTTCAAGAACCTTTTCTAAGTTTTCCCTTGTCATATATGGGGTGCATCTTTTTAAACCAAGATTTTGTTTAACAAAAAGTTCATCAAGATGGTAACATACCACAAACTTTTATTTACCTTTAGGTCCTAATCAACAGCTATAAATGCAATATTGCACAATGCTGTGCTGTTGTAATCAAAGGAACATCTAGTTTGAATATACTGTAAGCACATGCAAAAGAAAAAAACCTTTCATATTGAACTCTGAAACACTTTAATCTCTATTCATGAATTAATTATTGTGATTACTTGTTGCATTCCCCCACTAATCAATTTAATATTGTTAGGGTTAAGACTGAATTAGGAAGGAATTCATTCCAATTTAGAGGTCCTAATATCTGGAATTTGATCAATAAGAAAGTTAAACTTACCAATGTTAGTAAAGAAGGGTTTCTTCTTCTCCAGTTTTTATTTGATAAAGAGGCTAACATTATTTTAAATAAGAAGGATGATTTTATTTGTTATTAAGTTAATTTAATTATTATTTTATATTTTAGTATCTATTCATTCTTACTTAAATTTTATGTGTGTGAGTTTATGTATATGTATATATATATATATATATTTATCAGTCCATTATACATGTAAGTTAGAAATTACATTTTATAGTTATATTTCAAATTGTTACATATACTTTTTGTCTCACCAATTTATACATTTTCTATATATAGCAGGTCCACATCAGCATTTGGCTGCCGATGCAATTATTGTTGTTTGCAATATCTATAATATTTACCTGCTTTATCAAATAAAGGATTGATTGATTGATTGACTACCTTATAATGTAAAACCATAAAATATATCAGTGTATATAAAAACAATACCATACCTTGGTAAGATATGGAATGCATATTTCTTTCCTCCCACAACCACTGTATGGCCAGCATTGTTACCACCCTGCAAGTCAGAAGATTTTTTCAGATCACTACTAATTAATAAAATATGTGTTTTTTACAGATTGGCTAAATTTATATAAATCAATGATTCATTTCAATTTAATCGTTTTTCTATAATAAATGAAACATCTCTCAGATACATGATGGGTTTCAGACCAGGTAGGGATGTGAATAATTATTCTCTCTTCCTTTATTCTTGATTCGTATTAAGATTTTGTGACTTTGTGAAAGAGTATTATCACACAGATGTTAAAGAAAAAAATCCAGTTGCAAAAAAACATGGGTTAATAATGGGTTCTCCTATAGTGCATTTCTTATTTCTCAATGCGCTTTATGGGCTGCATATTAAGATACTATTAGCTGCCGTGCAGCTTACAATCATGAGTGATTTATTAGTACATTAGTGTTTAGTACATTATAGGGATAGGCTGTTGAATCGGGAGACAATCCCCTACTCTTACACGAATAATTCAACAGGTACTTTTATGTCCCCTATTTTACTGCAGGCTAGGAAGGGTTGGGACAAAGGGTCTATGGTTTAAAGTCTAATTATTCGCATTCGTTATCTTAAGACCCTGAATGTTGGTCCAGCCAAGGCTTGAACCACGACCTTCCAGAGCAAACCAGGTGGCGTTTATTTTTAGCAAATAAAATTCACTGGAATTGTGCCAATTATCGACACAACTGCAAATGGCTATAAAAGTTAACAAAGAAAATTACTATAATTACTATAATATTTTTAGCCTTGAATATAGAGTTCCGCGTACTGTAATTTTCAATTATTTGACCAGCGATTATATAGAGGTTATTACACTGTTAGTTGTGTATTACAGCTGGACAAATTTACAAGTGAAAGCAGCCATATTTTTTCGAGCCCCAAAGGAGCGAGAAAAAATACAGCTTTACGAGTAAAATTATCTGGCTGTTATACACAACTAAAGCAGTGTAATAAATTGCTTATTGTACAACACAAAAATCTGAGAAAGAGTGCATGAAAAACAAAATTATTTTAAACAAACTTAAAAGTCACGAATTCAAACCACTGACGTGAGCCACACAAAAGGAAGGAAGGAAATTTTCTTGCGCTGACATCACCGAAAAAACTTGTTCAAAACCGGTTCACAAACTGTGTATTATCGCTCTGTAATTGCACTCGAAAAATGATTGTAATACATGGGAAATTGAGTGTGTCATATGATAAAAGAGGATATTCACTGGTTGTGAGCATAACTCAATTCACCAGAGCTCAAGGGGTCAGGGGTCCTTTGGAATTGACTCATACATAAGCTGATAATAGGTTCACATTTAATCTAAAATGGGTTCCCTGTGTTATAAAGTGTTCATTAATGCACCGATCAAAGTAAACACCGTGGTGGGGGGCAGGGGGAGTGCAGGCAAGGGGTGGGGATTTGATCATCGAAATAATTATATGAACATTATATGTACGTATGACGTGTATTTGTGGAATATGTGAATATAGATATTATGCACATACATAACCATACGTATATATTCGTAACTTATTTGGAACTAAGTTGATGTGCAATCTTATGTACAAAATGCCAAATAAAATATGTCTGTCTGTCTGTCTGTCTGTCTGATCAAGGGCTAAAAATTTGGTCAAAATCCCCTGGGTAGGGAGAGAAATACTGATAAAATGAACAAAAATGCCCCCACCATCGGTGACTTTAATAAAAAGGGGCATAATTCTTGAAACACTGAAATATCATATGAAAATATTTATGATATAAAACACAGCGTAACTGCACTTTTACAAGGTCAACAGAAATCAAATCAGCTGGTTGTCGGCTAATCAAAATTTATCCAAAGAATATGTAGAATAAAATAGAATAGAATAGAACTTTATTTGTGCCCTCTGATTTGCAGATTGTTACAATTTTGAAAATTATGATAAAAATTTTAAGGAACCACTTGCTACCTAAAA